AAGGAATCCTCAAATCCAGGGTAGTAGTACTTCTGGTGGACTCTCTAACATGCCGAGTCCAGCCATTGAGGTGAACACAGGAGATTATTACCCCAAGCCTCGCAGTGGCCCTGGATGTAGGCAGCAACCAGTTAACATGTGGCAGTTTGAGATTTCCGCACATAAGTCTGGACTTGTAGGTGGTACTCTAGCCAGTATTGATCACATCAAATAGCTTTTGAGTTTCACAGTAATTGGCCCAGAGTGGTCGATATATACAACCCACGAAAAGATCAGCAGATGGGATCACCAGCCATAGTATATCTTATAAGTCACTGGGCTAAGCTTGGTCAACAGAAATTGCAGTATGGGCGATACGAAAGTGTTTGGCAAAACTACCCTCACGTTTGGGTGTCGGTCTCTGCGGTAAAGGTGATAGCTTATGATGTTAAGCTGAGAGACACTAATTTCTTGTGTGCACCACTTTTCAGTAATACAAACACTATCAGGTAATTTCCTAAACATAAGCGTTGAAAGCAAATCCAAAAGAGAACCAAAGACTATGACGGCAGGCCTGAGACTGTTAAATTTGAAAAAAGTGTGGACAAGATTGAATACTTCGTGAAGGCATCTAAAATCTGTGTACCGTGAAATAGTTGTGTCACACCGAGCTTTACATTATGCTTGTTTGAGTGAGGTAACTATAACATTTATCAATTGATTGCATCCCCAACTCAATCGCTTTCTTCTGTAAAGCAGCAGCTTTCCTCCTTAGTGCGAAAATATGATCCGAAACCGCACCCAGGACGCATTCAGTGGTCAACCGCTATCTACGAATAGCATTCGGACAATATGCCAGCATGGCTATTCAAATTAGACCAATCTGCGGCACAGAGCAATTGCGTTTTGCGGAGTGAGGTGGTTCCACTGACTTGAAAAATAATCTTCCGTTCTTCCTCAGATACACAAACTTCATCACGGTTGCTGTCGTTCCACGGATGTCTGGTATTTCGCTCACCTCAAATAATGAGTCACGGAGCCGATCTGATAACGACGGAACGGGCTCTGTCGTAAACGGAATTTAGTGTCACCCGGAAGAGTACCGTTTTCTCCGAAATGCATTGAAGTTGAGTGACCTTAGACCCGTCACAGTGACGTAGGCTCAACCGAAATGCCATTCGCACCACAAATGGACATCCACCGGTTCTGGTCGTCCATCAGCTTCACCTTTATGATAATAGACTGCAATTCTGGGACATTTGTGCACACAACAGATAAGCGATATGATTCTTTCGTTTGGCTGCATATCGCAAGATATTAATTGATACGGATTTTGACTGTTTGGTGGGCTGTGGACGCTGCGTCATCCTACTGCTGTTAACGGAGTCACTGGTGTCCTCTCCAGCGTTCTCACGGCAACCAATACGTACGATACCCGAATTTTTATTTTCTCTCGATATATATATATATATATGATTGACGAATGTTGCTGAGATATGTATGTTGTCTACTTTTCCGAGTTTATATATTCCTTTTATACCCGTCATCTCAAGTCTCTCAGACCTGCGTACTTGTTTGTCTTGCTTCACAGGAAGGACTTCGGTTTATGAGGGGGGTGAACTTTTTTCGATGCTGATGCATTTGTGACGAAAGCGGTGTTTCGTTATTATTTCACATGTTATCTCTGGATTGCAATCATTTTCATGAATATCCAACTATTGTCTTCAACGAATGCGGACAGTGTGCCATCGTGTGTAACAAATGCAGCCGTTTGTGTGCTTCATCAGGTTAATCGGCGTAGCAAATATAGTCGTCTTAGAGTTACATGATCGCTACGATCCAAAGGACGGCATCTGGCCTGGTTCCTTGCCGATAATGAGCACTAGGTGTGGCATCGACGGCTTCTTGACTGTTCTGTAACTGGTGGGATCGATGACGTGATTACCTAATGGTATACATATGGGCTATGTGCTGTACACCGTCGGTTGGTGGGGTTTCCAACTCATGGGCATTGGACTTTTCCGTAATGATGATGTGGCTGTATTTCCTAGTCATTATAATGCACAAAGCCGATTTCAGGCTGTGGTCCATTTCCAAATTGGATTTCGACCGGTAGACCACGGGCATCATACATGTGTCATCATCCTTCAGCCCTAGTCGGCACCACTAGAAATCAGTCACACCTTTGGAGCTCTTATATGAAATTACCTCAAATATTCCAAGTTGGATTTGTTTGGTAATAACTGATCACTCGTGATTTCTTACTGTCCCCTTTTCCGATGAACTACATACCGAGTAGAGTTATCTCGGAGTCGATATCTCGTAGCCCAGCCACGTTTCGGTGAACACTTTGATATTTCGAGGCCCTGAATCTTAACAGGCTGACTTCTTTCTACTCACTGACTAGTCCTTTTGCGTTTATGTACACCAGGACAATTTCTCGGTGGCCAACAGTGAGATGGCTAATCATGACTCAAGACTGGAGGTTTTTCCAGTTGTTGATGGGTTGACCACAAACCGTTTTCAGGAGCCAGACACCTTTGATAAAGTGTCGGTTTTCACGGATACATGTGGCTATCCGAGCTCTAATGGTCGCTGGCACTTTGACATGTTCTGTCATATATCGCAGCTGCTACTACGTTAGTTGCTTCGTACAACCATAAGGGGAAGATTTATATTCAGTCATCCACAGCGAATCGTCAGTCAACCGTGACTGTGTATCTGTTGCGTTTATCCGAATTTCTGCCAGTGACTTCTTGCATTTTCAGTACCATTAGCCCATACGGAAGTACTACTTGCATCAGTCCGTGACCGTACCCATTGTAATGGGGTGATACTGGAGTTCTCATTAACCGTTTAGCAATGACATTGTCGAACAAAAGCACTTAGCGTATACAGCACCACTGGCCCCGATCCATCGGAGGGGGAATTTTGAGGTTCACTAAACCCAGAACCAATGATCAGGTGCTGTTCTCTTTTGGATGTTCTTTCCAGCAGATTTTCGGAAATATGCTCCCCCCCCCCGACGAGCTGAGTTACGGAGCCGAATGGACGACAGTAGAACGGCCTCTGTATCCCCAGCTTAGCTCAGTGTCATCCGAAAAAGTCAAGTTACGTCATAATGCAATGAAGTTGGGTGACGCGCAACCTATCGCAACATCGTGAGCTCAGTGGAAATACCGATGGCTTCGCAGATAGAATTTTACTGATTTGGCCCCCTATTGTATTGAAGTGTGATACCGGAAAGTTTGTTAACATGACAGTTAATGCCTTAGAGTTCCTTCTTATAATTATCGGTTTGCTTGTATTAAATTTACCTTTCTAACGGTTTAGTGAACTGTAGTAGAACCCTAGTTAGCTCATTACAGTTACTGGGGTCAGGTTCTTTCTCTTTGGCGTCTGCGTGGAAAATCCGATGCGTACGACGCTTGGCTCCTTTCAGTAGTGGGCTGGCTCTAGTTCGGGACTTAATGTGAGCTTCACCCCTGAGGGGAGGGAAGGCAGGCGCATTCGCTACCTGTTTACTTAGAGGTGTGAGAAAAGCGCAAGCATTTTGAGCCAGGGACCCAGGAGGGCATTTGGAGTGTCTGACTCTATTCCTTGGGTTGAAGATAGGGCTGGAAGTGGATGTTTGGGGTTCGAGCACGGTCATACTCACTTTCAGTGGTCTAGTTTCTGTGTTCATCAGATGCCTTATTGCACAAGTCAACCTGTCACACTTTTTCGTGGTCCACACATAACGGTTAACAACTAGAATGACTCGGCATCTTGGGCATTACCAAAGGACCTCGGTTACCTCATGGTGCTGGCCCTATTTCTTATGCCGACCCTACACATTTAGGTGGAATGACCTAAGTAGTTTGAGCACTTTATCCTCATTTTAAACACTACTACATTTCCCTAAAGTACATACGCCTCCATGTTGAATCATATCTAGGCTGCCGGCAGATACATTTCTGATGATTGAAAGAGTCACTGAAACCGGTTTCCAGCTGAGACGATGCGCAGTGTCGGTCACAAGGTGTTGTGTCTGTGTATGCCCACAAATGGCGGGACAGAATGATTGGTCGATCGATCGATGTGGATAGCTAGCAGGCGGAAGTTGAAAACGGATGCTGGATGTCAACGATGCGTGAGGATGATGGGCAGACGATAGATCACAAATAGTTCCGTAGCTTCTTTAGAAAATCTAGTATATTAGCGCATCCAGAATCAAAGGATGGCTCTGAGATTACTCTATCAAACATAGCAACACGGTTGGCTAATTAGCCCAAATGCGGCTTGATTGTACGCGTAAACTTAAGCACGTGAGCCACCAAAGCAACTGGAAATGCTTGAATTTTGATCCATAGGAATTGTTCCGTTCAGCAGGGCTCAGTGGATAGAACAAATTAATACGAGCCGAACGAATGTGCGCTGAATACGCGGCTTTAAGATGGGGAGTAACTCCGTGACAATAAAGATTGTGAAAACAATGTAGCCACACGGCCAGATATTTCAAGGTGGGACTATAATTTTGCTTTAACCAGTTTGAAAAAATTGCTCTATCGAGTTGCCCTAGCATCCTTCGCAACTGCTGAAATGTTGGATCGGTTTTCCTTCTGTTCTTGTGCGTAACTCTTACAGACAAGGCTATTTTGTGCTAACACTTGATCGTGATTATCGAAATCGTGCGACCAGTCAATTCTCAGAATAGTCACTAAGGTATTTCGCTGTATTGAATAATAATAATAATATACTAATAATAATATAATAATGAATAATGATAATAATGTTTTTAGTATGGGTCCGCGCGAACTTCGTGAGATATTACCAACTATTTTGATGGTGCGCAATGTGCCTTCGGTAAGACGAGTGACCGCATGTAGAATCTCGAGGTTGACTTGTCATTCTAAGCCAGAAAAGTAACATCTGAACTAGTGTTGTAAAGTTGCAACGCAGTATTAGGAGAAGGTAACATCGCAATTCTACAAGGTTATGCCACCTTCGCTTGTATACTGCTTGATGAGTTCTGAGTCTCAATCAATGTACAAAATACAAGCCCAAGTTAATGGTTTATTCAGCACAATTTTAGCATTTCTTATTTAACATCCTGTATTTTGCAAGTGTTCTTGCATTCTTCTTCTGAATCAAACTGGTTATGATTTCCTCCGCATCCACCAAAAATGAACTTTTCGCATTTCCCTGTTTTCTCATTATATCCGTATTTTTCAATGTACGCCATGCAATTACCTTGAATAATTGGTTGGGAGCAGTCAGCTGTAACGAGAGACAAAGGGAATTATCCTTCGACTGTTGTTTTAACGGTAAATCTGTTTGTATTTGCATGAGCGATAATGTGTTAATCAGTTCTTCTATCTCTTCTGTGACATACAATGCTTCTATTTACCCAGCTTGCTGTGTATGCGGCACCTATTATGATCCTAGACAAAGCAGAATATAAAATTGGAAGTCGTGGACCACAGAACAGCGCAATGGTTAATCGCACGTGCTTGAGGACTGGGTTTTAGAATGGCGCTGCACGCACTTCGCGCAATATGCATATATATTTTTGTTCCAACACGTGGTGTCAGGTCAGGTAAGTCTTTATGGACGTAACAGGCCTTCGCCTAACGAGCGTCCCTATTCGTGTGCCGGTTAGCAAGCAAGCGCTGCCGGTACTTCAACGTTCAAACTTCTTCACTTCTACAGGGACAAACAAAAGTAAAGGCAGCCTCTCAGAAGCTCAAGAAACTATCCATAACATCCTACCGACCACGGGCTATTCGATACTAATTAGTACTCACTAATCTCAGTACGATTCCGGAGAGTGGACCAATTCATATCCAGACTTCTGTTAAAGGCTTCTACCGTATTACATCTTACGAGTACATAGGAAGTATATCCCAACTACGTGCTGCGCGGTTAGCAAAGATTTTCGCCCGTATATTCAGCCCGCATCTCTTCTTCATGAGCTTCAGATGGTGTCCTCGCAGTTGGTCAGATGTAGATAGTTCAGAGATCAGTAGGCTTAGTGCCACTGAGACCATTCATAATGTTGAACATTTCTACCAGGTCTCACTTAGTCCGCGACGTTCCAATGAGAAAAAGCCTGAACAAGTCTGTTGGTTAAGATAAGGCTTTCCACGTTTACCTTCAATCATTCTGGTAGCCAGTCTTTGGATCTTTTCTAAGCAAACGACATCCTTTTGAAGATGTGGTACCCATGGATGAACACGGCACTAAGTACACCCGAACCATCGCACTGTATAAATGGAGAAAGACCTCAGCTTTGGTACTATACAACGCTCTTCTAAGGCGAAAGAGCTCCTGCTGCGCTCTGTTCCTTTGAAACCTGGATTTCAGCACCCACAACCACATCAACGGTGCGGTCGGGTACACTTATAAGCTCTTATCCTGTATCGATTTGCACCTCCAAATTTGGTCGCACATTTAACTATCCATACTCAGTCTAATTGGTTTGACAAAGCTTTCAAGCGCTCTCAATCATTTGGATATGCCGTTTATGGGCGATTATCCTCAGAGATAGCAGGCTTGGAACCCGGGACCCTTGAGATGTTAGTTTGGGGCCTGTTCTGCTTTAGCCAGTGGGTCACGATGGATAACGCTCGGTACAACGGTTAATGACTGGTAGTTTCGTTTGAGTTGCGAGCCATTCATACCGGTAATCTGATTACCCTCTGGTCTCAACTACGTCACCTTTTGGCGCATTTGGGAATTAACTCATTAGGCAAGCAATTTAGGCCAGCTGTGCATATGCATGCCTTGGCCAATTTTATCATGACAAAATCTCGCTGTTCGCGTACCGTCCTTGAGGCCCACGAAACACGTATCACACATTCGTACATCTACCAGCCGTATTCTGTACGGCGAATACCAAATATGAAGCTAACGCACCAAAATATGACTAGTACAGCACAAGCCACTAATCATTCCCGCACTAACACAGACTCTTGTGGCTAATCGCAGCCATGTCAGCGGTTATCTCCGGAAACGGGTTTCGTCAACTTTACTAACATGTTGAAGGCTAGGTGTCAACCGTCTGGATCATAATGGGCACATGTGATTGGTACGTGTGCAGCTATGCGGTCTGGTAGTATATGAGTGTGATTGAGACCGCAGCTCATATGGGTGTGTACGACGAGTGAGCCCCGTAGATGGGCAATACAGAAAAAAATTGATCACCACCTTTTTGCAACAAACTTTGACTATCGAAAAACAACCCACATCGATTAGCGTTGCCGTTAAGAAAGCCTCACCTTAGTAACGCAACAATAATATTTAATGAGTTAGAACCCATTGCCTATATCGTTTGTGCAGTCAAGAACGAGCAAAATCGTTTTCCTGTGTTGAGATTCAACAAGAACCTGAAGGAGTAAAGACCCCTTCAAACCCTTTGGGCTGTTAATACATGGTTGTCACATGAAGTGAGGACAAGCGGGACTCTACGACCAGAGGCAGCAATACGTAAAGTGCCTAATCATGTCCAGGAGATTGCACATATATGAAAATCAAGACAGCGCAAATCGATTCCTCATGCATTGTGTAGCACGACACTTCACACTGAGCAACCGAATGTCTCTTGTGAGAACCGTACAGCACACTGATGAATGCTTAATACGGTAGAAGCGAGATATATATCGCTCCCAGAAATCTGCGTGGGCTTCTCAGTCACTGGTCTCGGAATCAGTTTTGGACAATTACACGTTGTTCATTCGGGCAACCAAAAACTAGAAATCGGGTCATCCATAAAGGCTGCTCACAGTGAACAGTCTCTCACCATGTGTAAAGAAATGGAACAATTCAGTAAAGAGCATCATCCGCTAGTCAAGATTTGTTATCAGTTGAATCCTTTGACTAAGTGATCATTAAACCTGTGTTGTGCGATTGGGAGGTAAAAGGTGTCCGTGTTAGATCACAACAAAATTTACGGCTACCTACTTCGATTATGTTAGAGCAACTAGGTGCGCAACTTTACATACAAATTACGGTCCTAAATGTGTTTCATGGCTATTAGTATAGATACGCCCTCGCATCTCTAACTTAAGCACTATTGTCAAGATTAACGCTGTTAGGCAGCTTACCTCCTACACCAAGAACCGGATCACCACTGCAACTTTCCCATAGTAAACATGATGAACAGTGACCCACGAAGTGTGGTTATGGTAGATTGTAACATTACAAGAACATTCTATTCTACAATGGACACACATCGGTAGACTTCTATGTTCTCAACTGCCTGAAGCAGTTATCTAATCGCTTTCTGCTTCAACGCTGTTGCATTGGCTCTACATGGCTGGACGACATTTATTACTTCAGGCGAGGAACTATATCAACAATCCACGGGTTGTGGCTTTGACTGCTACTAAAACCACAGACACACGTACGAACCGCTTAAAAAAGTGAACAATTATGTTGTATACAATCCCGCTGTACAAACGGGGCAGACAGACTAGTTGAAATGTATCCGCCCCCGTCAGGAAATATAACTTCAATTATTTACTTTTATATATGTATAGATATATATATATATATACTTATAAGGTTGGTAGTATCCGGTTTTAGATTTTCCTGTCACTGTGGCTAGCCACAGGACGCCGGTGCCTGCAGATGGACCATGGGTGGCTTGCGCTGCGCCACCCAAAGCTCCCAACACACACCCTATATCCAATGTAAACTTGAAGGGATATTATCGGGAGGCATGTGGACAGGAGCTACGTCTCATCAACAAATCCGGCCCACAATTCCTCCACAAGCAGAACAGGAGCATTCCGGCCAAATTGGGAGATCATGCGTACCAGGCGTACACAAGGCGGTGGCTGAGCTCTGGTGCGTTCCACACTGGATTCATGGAGTCGGTCTCTGAGCACCGTCACGAGGACAGTGCACCCCGTCCCCTCCTGCAATCGCCAACTGTCTCCTGGAGCCAGTATAGGCGATATGATGGGTAATAGACGAGTAGGCACCTTGTCAACATGCACATCAAGCGCAGCCACACCGGGATATCAAGCAACAGCCAACAACTGAGATGCAAGTATCTCGAAACCCTGGCAAACGCACAGACCAACTGCAATTACGATGCGGCACACGTACCACACCAACCGCTTTACTGAACTGAGTTAGTAAATTGAATCGAAAGCGGAGATCTTAACAAGCACCGCGCTGCTGATGACAACTCATACTCGCCTTCTCTTAGATGTTGGCCCAACGTGGCGACGCTGGTGGCTTACTAAGCAAGCTTGGCTCAGACACTCGCGACGGCATGTGCTACAGCACAATACGCACGACATCAATGGGCTATGCACCATCGAAATACCTACCTATAGAACACTGTCTTTCTTTGACTGGGTAGGCCAAATCTACTTATTCCAAGATTGCGCATGTGACTGCTATATTTACTTTGTGCTTCCGTTAACACTTAAAGAGAAGGATCGTATCCTGAGTATGTACGACGTGGAAAATCAAAATAGTTAAGCCCAAACTTACCAGGTAGGGTTGTATTCGGTGATGGATCAGAAGTTGGTTCACTAGTCAGGGCTGGCACTGCTCCGAAAATCCGTATCTGAACAGCCAGCATGGTGAGAAGGAGCCACTCCATCATGATTTCTCTCTTCAATTCTCAGCGATTCAGCGCTTTATATGCATCCACCTAGAGCGTGTGTGATGCCGGTCATTTTGTGAAGTGAAAACGAGGTCGCAATAAATCATGGCTTAGTCGCTGCGCAACATGCTGCGAAACGGTTCAGTGCACCCAACTTCAAAAAATGAACCCTGTGAATGCAGAAAACGTTTCGATTCAGGTTAGCCACATGAACGGAAGTGCACAATGTAAATTCGTCGTACAAAACGCTGTGGCATCAAGAAACTTTTAGTTCACTTTAGGTGGAGGAAGTGACAGTTATGTGCCGATGGCGGTACATCGACGTTTTCGAAAATTCCATTAAACCTGCAGAGTAATTCTTTCGGAAAAGCATGAAAGGGATCTGATAATTAAAACCTGTTAGAGTCAGGGCAACTATTCCTATCATGGGTGCCGGTGTACTTATGTTGTTCACTGCATTGCATCACCAGTTTCGTCTTCGATCGGAAAACGGCAACTTTCCAGACCAGTGATGGAAATCGGCGTGTATTGAAACGCTTCTTCTTTCCCTCTGCCACTGACAACTGTTGTGCTGCTGCTTTGCTGCCCTGCGAGATGGCGACTGTCTGACTGCTCAGTCACGCGCCATGCCAACCGGAGCAATACAAAAGGCCAGAACTCGGTAGACAGAGAATGTATCTACAGGATAGGTTAACTCTATTTATTATACATACATACTATACACGTTAGCTGGAGGTGGGAAACACCTCAGCTACTGTGCCGCAACACCTAAAAGAAAAGAAGGGAATAAAATGCTACAGGTGCAAGCCAACTGAGCTACCGATAACGGATGGGCATCGTTCCGGTAAGCTATCTGCCGGCTACTATGCAGCAAAAAAGATAATTTCCTATGCAACATTATAAAATGTTAAATAACGAGATCGTGGTTGCAGGGGGTAACTAAGAGGGATGGGGTGTGACGAAGAAATTCACAGCACGAACGCCACTGAGGTCGGCTCCTAGCCATATCAACAAGTGTATCCAGCCAAACGTGTTCATTGTCTTTCGGACCCGAACCAGGGAGCCGAGGCGCTCCAACCGAGGCCAGATTCGAAGTGAGCACCTTCACTCCTCTCGACCAAGTCATCGCTTGGCCACCCCTCCTCTTCTTCCATCCACACCCCGGCGCACAAACAACGCACGTCGCGGGAGTCGGTGGGCTGGCATGCGTAACACGTGGCCGAGCCATCGGAGCCTGGTGCGTGAAATGACGGTGCTGAGCTGTTCATTTCCATTTTCCGTGCCGTAAACAAGGCATCGAACACGCTCGTTGCTCACGCGGTATCCGCACCAGATGTGAGTTAAATTGCGAAGGCACCGGTGGTCGAACGTAACTAGCCTCTTCAGGTCCGTTGCTTTAAGTGGCCAGGTTTCACAATCGTACAGTAGGGTCGAACGTACCGCTGCATTGTACACTCTACGCTTCAAGGCAAGAGTGATGTCGCGCCGGCGCTATAGGTGACGAAGGTTAGCAAAAGCGCCTCGAGCTTTTGCTATACGGTTCGTGATCTTATCTTCAATCCGACAGGTGCCGATACAACTTCCCAGATAGCTGAATTTTTGAACGACTTCTAGCTGATCCCCATCAAGGGTCAGAGAAGGAGGCGGTCCAGGCCAATCTTGGAGAAACACTTTGCATTTAGACGGTGCAAAGCGAAGCATGAAGCGGCTGACAGCCAGTGCTAATCCATCCAGTGCCGCTTGGCACGTTTGTGAACTGTCACAGATTAGGGCAATATCATCAGCATACTCTAAGTCAAGAAGTCGTTCTCCTGGGAGCAGATCCACACCTTCTAAGTTGTGTCCTGTAAACGCGATTTCCATGACTTCGTCAATAGCGAAGTTGAAGAGGAAAGGTGACAGCGGGCATCGTTGTCTCACACCGCTGGAGATATTAAAGGGCGACGACAGCTTGCCGTAAGCCCTCACTCTGCCTGAGCTACGCGCGTATAATGCTAGGATAATATTTACATATTTCTCAGGTACACCTTTCCTGAGTAGACAGTCCCAAAGTGCACATCTATCCACCGAATCGAATGCACTTTGATATCGAGGAACACGACAACTTTGGGCCGCCAATATGTGTGACGGTGCTCCAACAACTGACTTAAAGTGAAGATGTAGTCAAGGCTGATACGACCTGGACGAAACCCTACCTGCTCTTCACGAATATGGCTTTCACAAGTGGCATCCAATCTGTGATGGATGACAGAGACAAGCAATTTGGAGGCGATGGTTTTCAGCCAGTGTGAGTGTGTTCCGCTCCACGGGTTAATCATATTGACGGAATAGTTCGATTCCTTTTACGCAGACTGGTATTTGGTGGCCGATCAATTCACACTCGATTCCCAAGTTCATCTCCGTTTACATCTCTATTAACGTGTTTCGTTGCAAGCCGAATCGCTGTCTAAATAAGTTTGTATTTATGTATATATACGCTGCGAATACTTCAAGTACGGATACAGACAAATTAATTATTGGGACACAAGATGGATGAAGAATTTAGTGGTCTAATGGTGAGGATATTTGTTGATAAGCACTAGGTTTGCTGTTTTGCGTCAAGCTTCCGACTCATCCGTATGAGTTTGAGCAACTAGGGTGCCAACGAATTCCCACACAGCGGTTGCCACGAGGACATGTCGAGGTCATGAAACCAAGGCACAACTTTAGCAGCAGAGGTCGACAATCTGTCAGAATTCGACCATCACAATACTCAGTGAGACATGGACACTCGATATATATATATGGTTGGCGTCATCCGGTTTCGGATTTGCCAGTCACTGTGGTCAGCCACAGGACGCCTGCGCCTACAGAGGGACCATGGATGGCTTGCGCTGCACCACCCACACCTCCAACCACACAATCTATATCCAGCGTAAACCAGAAGGAATAAGACCGGGAGGCATGCGGATGGGAGCCACGTTTCATCAACGGAGCCGGCACACATTCCTTCACAGACAAACACAAGCACGCTGTATTTGGGGAATCAACCGCACACAAGGCGGTGACTGAACCGTAGTCCGCTCCACACTGAGTGCATGGAACCACTCTTCGAGCTTAACAGGGCCACAAGGACCGTGCACCCCGTCCCGTCCAGCAACGATCAACTGTCTCCTGGAGCCAGTATGGACGAGTTAGTAGGTAATAGACAGCTAGGCACCTTGTCAACATACACATCAAGCGCAGCCACACCTGGGATGTCAAACAACAGCCAATCATTCGAAATGCCGATATCGATTAAAGTAAACGCATATGACGACATAAATACTCGCTATATGAGAATATGGAAGAAATTGGTTATAAGTGAATCCGTGATAAGTACAAAATGTCCGAAAGTTATTTAAAAGATACCACGCGATAAAATTACGCAAGTTTACCACAATTTGCGTGAGTGACGTGTGCAAGTAAGGAGAAGGTTATCAAGTACGCAGAACAAACCAAATAACATGTAATGAATTTTATCCACGTTAAAAAGACCTAGTTTAAGTGTAAGTTGGTTTAGCCTAACTGCGGGGAAGAAGCATCATGAAGCAACTGGTAGGTAGAATGATAAATAAACAAGTAGTACAGTAAAATACTGTGCACATATGTGTTGCCGTCTATATGTATAGTCTGGTTTGCGTAGCTGATGGCGGAGATGGTATAGCATGCGAATGCGATGGAGTGTCCACTTCTGGTTCTCTGTGTCGCCGACCGGTGCGGTCATCTGCTGCCCGATGTATGTGCAGATACTCAAAGAACGATTGATGCGCAATCTTTGATGTTGACATGTGACATCAACAGTCCCGCTGTCCACTGTCAAACATGCGACTTTCCAAACAGTGTTCGCGTTTTGCAAATGTCCAAGTACTCAACCGTTTGTACATACCGATGTGTACTCTACTGTGGCCATAAGCTATGTGGCAACAATCTGTGTGGTACGTCTCGAGTGCAGCCATTCTGTGCTCATAAAACGATTGTCGCTATGTGCTGATTCCTTTCCGTCGTGATATACCAAGACACTAACATACCAATCCCATTGGATTTATCCTTTTACTTAGTCTATCCAAAAGATTGGCCATGTGCAATGCAACTTTTGGTAGGTGTCTCTGCACGTCTGCCTTCCATCCGCTTAGTACGTGCGTTTTCATAAGCCCCGGTAAATTCAGTATGGCTGATGAACAACTGGAAATATATCCATGCTTACTCTCATCACTAACCTGTGAAGTGGAACATGAACTGGCGACATCGTGATAATCGCTAGTCGGTTAATTGTCGGGATTGTTCACTTGCCACAGAATTTCCAGGGAAATTTCTCTTCGAATGCATAGTCCAACGTGGTCACACGAGGGACAATCGTTGAGCATTGTGTTCCAAATATCAAACTTTACACTTTATGCGTACTGTAAGCGGCCAAGCGCTGGTAACCTTTTGATTCAAACGTATCCACTGAACTGGAAACATACTCAATAACTTGCCACCCTAGCATTGATCCGTCTCAATCCCACAATTCGTTCGGAAACACCGCGCGCACATCGAATGCGCATGTGCTCATGGATGGACTGAATCATTATTCCGCGATACACCGGCTCTCCGCCCTTGAAACAGCCACTGTCGTCATCAGACAGTATTTTCCAAGTCATCTTGCTTTGCCTCAATCCTACGCTGCATCGCTGCCCATCCACCTCCGGCTGGATCGATAGCACGCACGTCGCCTACCTACCCTAAGGAATGTGTGACTCATCTGGACGCGCCACCTCTGACTCCTCTGACCTTAAACCAGCGCCGATTGCCACGCAACAAAAAGTGAAGCGAAGTCATACACGGTAAGTCAGTATCTCTGTCCTCTTGCTACCCCTGTTGTAGTGTACATCCAATTGCTCCATTCCATCTTGTTATCGTGCAATCTTTACAACATATCCACACCACCTGCGGTCATTCCTAGTTCGCTGCCCCATTACTGACCTTGACCACATATAAAAGTAGAATT